GGTCACCACAACAAGAACTGTATTAAAGGGTTGTGGCATTAGGAAGATTGAGAACCACTGCTGTAGAGTATTACACACATTGTCTAGGATTAGAATCAAAAGATTGAGAGCTGGCATGAAAGTGATATTCCTAAAGTAAATAAATCAGTGGGAGGGAGGATGGGGAATTGGAAACTTGTCAAGTTTAAGTTTGGGAGAATTGGATTACCTTTGAAATTTAATAACTTGAGAGGATGAGAAAGGATTGAGTAGAGGAAAGGAATTAGAAATCAGATCTGGTACAGTGATTTGCTCTTTACTCAATTACTGAGCATTCTATTTCTCAAAAAAACAGGCTTTATCACGGGTTGTATTTGCTCTGTATTTTGATCTCAATAGAAAATTAGGACCGGATAAGAGGTCATAAGAACCTTAGAGTTCGTGCAGTTATTTTTGGGAATAGCAATCAGAATAGAAACAGCAGCATAATCCCTGTTGGGTCTGTTTTCAGAATGCCTTTGAAGCGTACCTGGAGAATGAAATTGAACAGATTTGATCTTCTGTGCTGCTGCTTAGTAGCATAAGATGTGATTTGTATCCTCATATTATTGCCCCCAGGATTCATTGAGGACGCCAGCTCAATTCTCAGTTCCAATTTGCATGTGCTTCCAATGTGGATGTACTGTAACTCCAAAAATGATCTGAATATCCTGCCTTCCTTTTTTTTTTTTCTTTTCTGGTTACCACTGGCTCGGGAGTGTCAGTCTTTTAAACTTTCTTCTTACCTGTCTGTCCTGAATACTTCAAACACATTTGAATTCTTACCCTTGGACAATTGAAGATGACTGGTTACCCTGCTTCTAGTCCTAACTCCAAGTTTTGTGTGGTATTGGTAATAACTGGTTGGTCGGCTCCAACTGAGCAAAACATTGCCTACCTTTGAATAGGCCCTGCAAACTCTAGCATTGGTTCTTCAGACTAGATCACTGTTACATACAGAAAAGGGTTTTGGTTTTGTTTTTAAGTAAAGTTACTGGTTTCTACTCAGGGAGATTATAGTATTATACATTTGGTGAGACTTGTAAAGCATGTAGTTTTAAAAACTGATCCATGAATCTTACAAAAGTTTATATAAAATTCAGACTTCATCATTAACATAGAAATTTCATGATACATACAACTTTAATGACAACTCTGCATGTTTATTGTATGCTCCAGTGATGATAGAAAGTACTTAGTAGTTCTCTGATAGTGTCACCCTATCCTATACTTAAGTTACTTTGCTCTGACTGGATCCTGGCTTCCTGTGACCCTCCCAAGTAGTTTATTATTCTCTTTACTGCTAACTTGTGAAGGTACCGTATATACTCGTGTATAAGCCGAGTTTTCCCAGCACATTTTCGATGCAGTTTTTGTGGTAAAATTGGGTGCCTCAACTGGTATTTGGGTCGGCTTATACTCGAGTATATAGGTAGTTCAAGTACTAGATCCGGTAAGTTTGTAAGTACTCTGCAGATTATAAAGATGGTTTGATTTCAAATAGGTTAGCATTCTAGAAAATTGTTTTTAAGGTCATATAAGCTGTAGTAGTATGAATCCATACATAGCTAACCACTAAGGGATACATAATAAAAGCATGATACCTCGGCATAATATGAATCTTTATATAAAGGAGAATTACAGTTAACCCTGTGACTTTTTCACTTTTACAGGTGAGAGAGTACTGTGCTTTCATGGGCCTCTTCTTTATGAAGCAAAGGTAGGAAACCTGTTTTCCTTTGAGAAGTTGGCCAGACTTCTGATTAGATCTGATATTTTAATAGCAAATTTCAGTCGTTTGTTGCCTCAGTGAAAGAGTTGCCCATTTTCCTTCTCTGGGTTTCTTATTGCTTTGCTTAGTGGGTCAAAAAAAGCACTGCTACTCCCTTCTGACCTTGCCACACAGTACTGCTCTGGTAAAAAAGACCCAGTGATTGGAAGGAGGAGTTGAGGGGAGGGATAGCAGATGGGTTGTAGGAGTGACATTGTAGTTAATGACTTGTGAGAGAACACTGCTAGTTACTTAAAAAAATTTTTTTGCTAGTTGTATATGTAAGTGTAATAGGCCTCTGAAGCACTGAGCTAATTGGATTAGAAATAAAGGCTCACGAAAATGAGTACGTTTAACTTTCGATTAGTTTGTCTGGCTAAGTTTGAACCCTTCAGAGCTCCTTTAGCCTAAAACAAACAGGGAGGCTCATCCATTCCGAAGTTTATCATATTTTGTGTTTGGTAATCTTTTTAGCATAAATATTTTAAGACTTGAAAATACTTTTAACAGTTTAAAAATGTTTAAAATGAACCAGCTATAACAATATGCAACAGAATACTGCTTAGTTTTATTACACGTTAATATAAATTCTTGTTAAATAGCTTTATGTATCTTTGAAAATAGTCTTAATGTTTGTAAAGTGTTGGGCAATGTGGCCAAATATCTATTTTCAATTATGATTAAAATACGTAAATGTATGCTTTTAAAGTTCTAAAATGGCCGCATTTGGGATCAGATGGTGAGGTGCGCATGTGATCTGAGTGATATAAGTAGACCTGTTGGATTTTGTATCCCTGGATGAGTATTATTTTGTTGTATCAACGTGCAGTAAACATTTTAACTTGAAGGTTTTTGCCAGCAAAACATCGTGGTGAATAATTTTTTTAATGGTATTTGGAATAAAACTCATGTTCACTTCTTGGTTTATCTCTGATAATGACTTTTCAATCTCAAACCAGAGAATTGTGATGTTAGTGGCTTTCTCCTCTAATAGTTTGTTTTTTAAAGAACATAAATTGTCTTAAATCCCTTACTTTGCTAGTTATTTAGGTGGGTTCTCTGCAGCATGTCTTTTTCATAAGCTCTAATGGGAGTCCTTTTATAATATACAGTTGATCTTTGAACAACTCGTAGGTTAGGGATACTGACTCCCCTGCACAGTTGAAAATACACGTGTAACTTTTGATTCCCCCAAAACCATGAATGTTGTTCGGGGCCATGGAGTTGGTTGTAACTTACTGCAGCTCGGTGTGCAGTAGAATGAAACCCTACCTTGTGTCCTGCGCCATCTTCGAAATTGTTGCTTGAGCCCGTGGTTGCAGCCTCGGTATCAGTCCATCTCCTTGAAGATCTCCCTTGTTTTCACTGCTCCTCTACCTTACCCAAGCATGATGGCTTTTTTTCAGACTGCTGTCTCCCGATATGCGTCCAAAGTAGGGAAGAAGACCAAGTCTTGCCATCCTTGATTCTAAGGAGCATTCTAGCTCCTTAGAACAAATGTGTCTTGGAAGAAGTATAGTTAGAATGCTCCTTAGAAGAAAAGATGGTGAGGCTTGTTTCATGTAACTACTTAGACCCTGTTAATTGGGAGTCTTAACGGGTAACAAACTGGTGATTAACATGTTTTTCATGTTACATATATTATATACGTTGCCTACAAAAAACTTAGACCCTGTTAATTGGGAGTCTTAACGGGTAACAAACTGGTGATTAACATGTTTTTCATGTTACATATATTATATACGTTGCCTACAAAAAAGTTGCGTTTTTCTGTACAAGATCAACGGGTTTTTCAAAAAGTACAAGGTTTTCACGACTTCACAATTTCCTTTTCCGTTTCTACAGTGGTTCTTACACAGAATTCATTTATCTTGGAAAGGGCAGGTACCTACACTTGCAGAACTCAGTCTACCATACTTATTAAGCAATTTAACTTTTTCTTGTAATGTCATAATTTTTAAGTTTAAGGCGCACTTAGAGCATCACTAGTGGTGCTTTAAGTTCTAAGTGATGTTTTTCTTCTTTATTTCAGTGTGTAAAGGTTGCGATAAAGGACAAACAAGTGAAATACTTTATACATTACAGTGGTTGGAATAAAAAGTGAGTATTAGATCTTTAAACGCAATATGTATGGTTAACAGTGGAGTTGTGTCAGACTGCAAAGCATATGTGTCTTGATTCTTAAGCAGTTGTAATAAAATCAGTGAAAGAAAGGTGACCCGTTTGCAGTATAATGAAACTAAAATGGAAATTACCTAGGTACATAGTGCCATTTTATTTTAAATGTATTTAGTTCTCTGGATTATTTCTTGGGTCCTGCTATGATGTCTAACGAGCTAACTGTCCTGGTTGAATGGCAGGTAAGCACTACTCTGACCCTGGTACATTTTAGACTAGCCGGAATTTTCTGGCCTTACTCGTGCAAACTCAGTGACTATATCCATGACTTCAATAGTTTGTAACTGGTTGGGTTTGTTTTTTTTAATTCCCCTAAGAGAGTGATTGCCTAGTTGGGGAATTAAAATTTATCGATCCATTTTTTGAACTTTGGAAACAAATGTTGACAGAATGTAGCTCACCTTTTTAGCATATGGCTTAGCTTAAATAGACATTTAATCATAGTACCTAATTCTCCACCCCCACGAGTTATTCTTTTCACAGTGGTATATTGGTTTAATCTCAGGTATGGACAAGGGTAAAGATCAGGTTGGTCTTATGTCCTTCAAAGATGGCACTATTGGTGATACTTGTAGGAGTTGTTTTCTAGTAAATTTTAAGGCTTTATGTTACTCAAGCCATGCTCTGGTACCTGGTTCACCTTTTGGGCAATGCCATCTGAGTTGATAACTTCAGGGAAGGAAATTCTTGCTCTGGAATGTACCGACCCTTTGCTTTTGGGCTTGTTTCTTAACAACCCTCTATCCAGGTGACTGATCTAGTTAATTTCATTTCTTTGGTACACATCAGTTGCTTCGAGCCAGGAAAATATATTGACCCTTAACTTCCATTATCATAATCAACCTGCTGCTGTTGAGTTGATTCAGATTCATAGTGACTCTTTAGGACAGAGTAGAATTGCTCCATTGATTGGGTTTTTAAGGCTGTGAATCTTGACAGAAGTAGCTGCCACATGTATCTCCTTGGAGAGATGAATGGGTAGAACTGCTGGCCTAGTCATTAGCTGCCAGGCACTTAACTTCTGTGCCAGCAGGGCTTCTCTATTATAAGCATTGAAAGGTGGAAATCTAAATGTAAAACATATTTTGACAACTTGTGGTTTTTAGTTCAGTTTGGAGAGAGTCAAATATTTCTCATAATAGGTAATATCAATATCAAAAGTAACCACTGTAGACTTTTTAAGTATTGAATTGAGTAATGGAGAAGTCTTTTGGAAGTAAACTACGGTTTTAAATGTAATATTAGTATTGATGGTATATTCAGTCTAATATTCAGGAAATTTTATCTTTTATTTCCTAGAATATCTTGCCACTTTTTCTTATTAAATGAAATATTAGAAATGTATTTTCATCTTTTGTTAAACTTAATATTTTATTGTTATTCTATCAATATCCATAGAAGACCTGAGCATATTTACAATGAAAATCTTGATTCTTTACAAGACACATAACACCTTATTTTTATAAGTTGTAAAGTAAGGCGCAAATAGGGTGTCAGAGAATAAACAGCAAATTCATGAGATAAACCTGGCATTCTGCCCCCTCCCCTCCACATTTTGCCTTAGTTCTGAACATTATTTATGCATGTCATTCTCTCATATACTGACAGTCTCGGGCTATGAACATCCTATTTGCCCTTCTATGTTACATAATTTTGCCCTCATTTTTAAACAATCAGACCAAGTCAACCCCATCATAATTACTCTGACTTTGTTGCACATGCAGCTTTACAAATAACTAGACAGACCTCAAACTATTTCTTGCCCCAAAATAAGGCTTATAAGTAAGACTAGTATGAACCTGTTTAAACTTTCCTACAGATTCTTATTTATTTTTTTAATCATTTTATTGGGGGTCCTACAGATTATTAACAGAATTAGGAGTGGAATTTGTTCCTATTTTGGGGACTACCCATAGATAATAGATCTTTTATGTAAAACAATTTATAGATCTATATAGTTCAAAGATGGGATATTAAGGGACATTTGTAATTTATCAAATTATGAAAATACTAGATATGTTTTCTATTTCTACAGCTTCACTAACAAATAATAAACTTGTACAGATTTACTTTGCTCTTTCTTAACTAATTGTATATTACTCTTTAGAAATAGAATCAAGAACTATGATACTAAATGTTCGTGATGTCAGTCTCCTAAGATTAATTTTGGATTCTATATATTAAAGGTAGCTTTTGCTGTTGACTTGGTATATAAATAAATATGGATGTAATTTGGGGAAAAGATTATACTTATTAACTATTCATAGAAGGAAAAATAAACCAATTTTGAAAGAGAAGAGTTACTCAAATACCTGGGTATGCTGTGATTTTCTTTAGTGTGTTCTGTAAGGACTTTTCATGGACCATTTGTAACCTTGAGAACTGATTAGAAGCTACCTTTGGGAATTTCTGAACTTTTTTAAATGTTTGATCAACTTAACAATTTCTCTGCCCTACCGCACCCTTGTGTTGTTTCCCAGGACGAAGGGTGTTCTTTCACTTCCTCTGGTTCCACTTGAAGGGAGTGTGCAGCAGTTAGGTTCTTAGAAACATTTACAGGCAGGCCCCTACTAAGTTCTGTTCCTGTCTTTAAGTCAAATTTATCCATGAGTTCAAAAAGTTAGGTATGATTTGTATATAATGTCATTCAAATATTAATCTTATATAATGGACCTTCTATGCACTAAAAAAATCCAAAGAAACCATTTCAGATACACCAGAAACATCTTTAACATACTACTAACAGTAATAACAATATTTTGGTGGGTACTGCAAACACCTGTGTGTAATGTGGATTTTTAATTTAATGGGTTTTATGGCTGGTGGTTCTGAACGGATGTGGGGGACTGCCTATAATGGGGTTTCATGGCAGAGGGGAAATTTGCAAGGTTCTAAAATGCAGCCTCATGGTAGTAATGAACAAAAACTGGCTAACTCCCTTTGGTTTGGAGCAAATTGGAATCGATGTTAGATATGTGAGATCCTCGTTGGGAAAAGTTGGTTTACAGGGAGGTATACCTTACTTGAAAAGCATTTTTTTAAACCAAAAAATATATAATGAAATCTCAAGTCCCAAATTATAATTTTCTTAAACTTAAGTTAATATTTATACTTTTTTTCATAAGTACAATAGATATTAAGATATTTCTAAATTTTCAGAAAACATTGGAATTTGTTGACACAGACATTTAACTATTCCATTTGTAAGTGAATCTTAAAGCTTAAGCTAAATTCTACACTTAGTTACTGAGATTACTTTGTACTATGCTGTCTGTATCAGAAGTGCTGTGAGGCCCAGGCGCTCTGAAAAAACTTTGAAGACACGTGAGGATATTGTAGCCCTTTTTCCTGTTCCTGAAGGAGCTCCCTCAGTACACCACCCCCTCCTGACCTCTAGGTAAATGCATGTTTTAAAGTTTTCTCTAGGAAATTATATTGAAGATTGCTTTTTTAATCTTTTTTTCCCCTTTTGTCTTATCTTATATACGAGGTCAAAGGTGGGAAAGTATTACAAGGTTTCTTGGCTTTGAGAATACATCTAATTGTGTCACTAAAGGAGCTCCATCAGCAGGAGAAAGGGTTTCCTTCACACAAAGTCGAGCACGCCTGAAGAAGCCCTCCTCACCCTCCCCTTGAATGAGCACCCCAGGGGACAGCTTGTTGTGAAGGCACTGGTGTTTGTGCCAACATAGGCTCATCAACTAGATACTTCCTGGCTCTACCCTTCGATGTTTAGAAAACCAGTGTTTTGGTCAGCCTTGGAAGTTAGTACATATATATGTGAGTGAATGCAGATTTGAAATTGTGTACAAGCAGTCTCTAGGTTACAAATGTCCGACTTTTGTAGCTGTGAGCCCATAAAGCCTATTACATTAAAGATGAAAGGTACATGTAGTTGTTTGTAAATAGCAAACATGCTACTTTGGGACATGGCATCAAAACATTACATACAGTATTTTGCTAAGGGTGTTTTGGGTAAGGAAGGTTTTTTTGGAAGTATTTTTTAAATATAAGCATGTGCTAAAGTCAAACATTTGATAGCATATAACTATTCTAACAGATACAACTTTTAAATGAATTTAGTTTGTAATCAAGGGACTGCCTGTAGTTTGATAAACTTATATTTTAATTTTTTTTAATGTGGTTGAGTCAGTTGAGGGGTTTTAAGTATTTTAGGGTTCCTAACAGGTTTCTGACATATATCCTCAGTGTTTGCTTAACATACGCAGGCATTCTTACATGTTTCACACTATTTTTATAACAGCCTTTTGCGGAAAGAGAATACTGTTCCCATTTTATAAATGATGAAATCAAGGTATATGGAGAGTTACATAACCTTGCTGTGACACGGCTAACTAAGCAAATTTGTGTTAAGTGGGTTTTTGGTGGTTTTAATCTGTTTATTGTAGACTTTTGTGCTTAATTTTTGGTCATTGAAATCCTTTAAGATAATAATTTTATTCTGTAAGACTAGTGGTTTAACCAGTAATGAGAGAAGCAATACCAGGAGGGTAAGGGAAAGGTGGGGGAGAAAGGGGGAACGTTCACAATGATCTATATATAACCCCCTCCCTCTGGGACAGATAACAGAAGTGGGGAAGGAGGAGACATCAGTCAGTGTAAGACATGAAAAAATAATAATTTATGAATTATCAAGGGTTCGGAGGGGGGTAAATGAGCTGATATCAAGGGCTCAAGTAGAAAGAAAATGTTTTGAGAATGATGATAGCAACAGATGTACAAATGTGCTTAACATGATGGATGGAGGGATGGATAGATGGGTTGTACGAGCCCCCGATAAAATGATTTTTTAAAAACACTAGTGGTTTAGGGATTAAATTAAATGTCATACTTGTAGTGCCATTCTTAAAATAACTTGAGCCTGTGTTTTCACTTGTTGGTAGTTTAGATTTGGAATAGTTTCTGGAAATGTGAAGGTTTTCTTTTTCACAAGGAAGACATTCATTAGATTGTCATTTTAGTTTGCAGTGGATTTGTAGTACCAAATTGCTTCAGGAAATCCAAGATTTTGCCTCGGCACTCTTAAAAACGAATTGGCATCTGAGTAGTAATGAAAGTTTTAGAGTGATACTTGAATGTTTCTCTCTTTCTTCAGCTGGGATGAATGGGTTCCAGAAAGCAGAGTGCTCAAATACGTGGACACCAATCTTCAGAAACAGAGAGAACTTCAAAAAGCCAACCAGTAAGTTTGCTTTACACAATGACTATGAGGGAATGTCTGTGAATTTGTTTCCAGTCGTAGATGAACAATGGAATCATATTAGTTGCCTGCTTATAAAAGTTTGGGGCTCCTCCTAAGTGTACAGACAGCATCACATCACCTGGTTCACGTCTGAGAAATGGCATCTCTGCTCAGGTAACAGAGACGCAGAGAAGACATTCTAGTGGAGTCTTCCTGGTACCCCAAAATAAAATAATAAAATTGGCCTCTG